AAGTAAGAGCAAACAAACAGCTATTATGAACTGCCATTGACAGCAATATGATTAGACATGAACATCAGTTACATCTTTATTAGCGTACAGTACAGAGTGATAAAGTGGAACAAACCAATCAGACATCTTCCAAAACCAAGAATAACAGGGAGTAGAAGTCACTCCAAGATTAACCAGAAACTCTATCAACATATTCAAACAGGAAAAATTCCCATTTTCTGATGCCATAAGAAAGCAAGCAGAAAGTGAACTGATAATATTCACGTATGGAAGTTACTTAAAACTCCAACTGATCTGTGTGCTGGGTTATTTGTAATTGAAAAACTGGCTACCCGCTGAGGAGTGAGATTTAAAGAAAGCTATAGAACATGGACATTAGTGTCAGAAAGCTTCCAAAGATTGCTTAACTCTTGGCAAGAAAGACATTCTCAATCTGAAACACAGCACCTGTGGATTTTGCCATCCAAACTTAGATTATTCAGGCTCTAAGATGGTGATTTATTGGGATGTTTTACATTTAAATGAAGACCATTTGACATTCATTCTGTCCCCAAAGCACTTCAAAGAGCTAACTGAACTGATTTTTGAGGAATTACAAAGTGATGAAACTTTAATTTTATTCATCTTGAATGAAATTTTAATTTGAGTAGAGGCTTTAAAACAGTATAATTAAATCCTGATTCTTTAATTTTTTTGGTTTTGTATAGACACAAGGTCTCCTAACATTAAATTTTTAATAGTATGTACTGGTCTGGAAAAAGGTATTTGTTGTGTCTGCTCAACTGCTTTCAACAGTGACTCAGTAAAAGAAAGGGATAGTTAAATATATATATCATGACAGCATAAGGAGCATATCATCACTGAGAGAGTGATAAAGCCACAGAAGCTCATGCAAAGAGAAATATACCATTTAATATGCTGTGCTCAGCATAAAGCAGATTTGTCAAATACAGGTAGTTGACTTATTCTAAGGTCAGCAGAGGATATTTTACAGTTTATGACACATAGAAGAGACTACGTGATCCAAATGCCTAAATTCTACATATATACAGACTTAAAGTAACATATAATACACAGGCAAAGTCAGTTCATATCAAGAGATTATTATACTGATGCCAATTTTATGCCCCAACAAGGCACGAACAGAGAAACTGCTCAAAGTTTGTAGCCTTTAAGCAGGAGGTACTTTATTCTCGGCGAGCCAGGAAGTGGCCAGATTGCCCTGGGAAGACCACTTCAATCCAACAACTCACAGCTGGTCTTTTTATACAATTTTTGGCAAGTAATTGCATAATACAATATGAATATTCATGATATTGCAACATACATTTTTAATATTCATCACAGGTGGCATTTAGGCGGAGTTAGAGGTGTGGTCTTCAATTTGGGGAGAATCTAGGAGGGTCTTTCCTGTTCTTCAGCCTCATAAGCCCCCGGTCACCCTATCATCCTCTTCATGAACTTTGTGAACTTTCCTATCTTGGCTACCTTTCTAGCGTATTTGGCAGAAGTTCCTGATATCTTGGCAAGGTGTACCTGTGTTTTGACTCTCTTTCCTTCTCTATCAGTCCTTGTTTTTCTTCTTTATACTTAATTTAGCCTCCTAGTTCTTTCTGTTTTCCTGAGTACATATGCTTCTGTTCTCCTGTGTCACTGTGTTCTGCATACCTTAATGAGTTATTGCCTCCGCTGTTTCTAAGACCAAGTTTTCTGTGCTTTGCTTAAAATCTATATTCTGAATTTAACTTTCTACTTTTCGTATTGCTATATTACATTTGCTTTCTAGGCCTTGCCTGGCTTCAATACATTCCTAATATAAGTAAGTCAATAAACTTATCTTGTTTAGCAGTGCAGGGAAAAGATGTGAGCATAGTTCTCTATTGAAGCCAAAGAGCAAGGGAAGACTTTGTGCCTCTACCTGAAGGAACGTGACAGGTCTTGGTCGTACCAAAGTCACCTGGACAGAGACATGACAGATGCTAAAATCACCATGTCTGGCAAGGCCAAGCACAACTGCAGCCAGAACACAGTTAGGAGAGACATTCATTGATCATGCCCTGGGAAAAGCTGCCAGATCCTGCTAAAAGGAGCTGAAGAAATATAATGTATTAATAATATATACATGGTTTCACAAAGTGTTAAAAAACCCATAGCCTATGTTAGACCACGATCTTTGGTCTTCCAAAGGTCTTCCAAACCTGGGGAATGAGTCACACCACAAAGCATGCATACATTTAACTTCTTGGTGAACCAACCAGCTCCAAGAGCCTGACCAGACTGAGGCAGGAGTCTGCGAATGCAGTTAAAGGAAGTGCCTTTCCCTCCCTCCTCAGCAAAGTGACCCCTGTGCGCTCATTAAACTTTATTCTGCAGGTAATTGCTGACTAAAATCACTGCAAGTCTGCTGGTCAAAGGAGGCATTGCCCGTATTAGGATTCCTTCCTACTGAAGGTATTTAATAAGAAGGGAGTCAGATTTTCTGAGAGACTTATATAACTGAGAGCTTTATTAATTGGCACAACAGAAATGGAAATGAGGTGGTACTGGTAATGGTTTACTTTCGAGGTAGAAAAGGGCACATATTTTCCATCAACAGAATAATAAATCAGTGCACCTTCTACCACACTAATTTGTTAAACATGTTTTGCAGTGTTGGTAGCAAAGATGTTTTTGCATCAGGTACTCGCATAAGGCAATTATGAGGTTGCACCGTTCTGACACAAAGCATGTACAAAAATGTATTAGCTAATCCTAATAAATGATGTAAATGTAGTGTTTAATCGGTAGAATAAGCTATCTTGAATATTCTGTGCAATATGTAACCATGACCAGCTTACAAAGAACCTGTAAATTGTATTTTAGGGGCTAAAAGAGAGCATTTGACTGAGGAGGTATTTTTGAAAGTGATTTCTCCATGGTGAGATCACTGGCAGCTGTCATTTATCTCGCTCTGACCAAGATAAAGATAAACTGAGTATACAAGCAATAACAACTTTTCTGCTGACTAGAATACTCTCTATTGCTTTCTTCAATTTCACCAATAGGCTATTAACTCATAGTTTGTTCAGCTTCTCCATTGCAAAACTACAATAACCTCTTTGTAACTTTATGAGCTTTCACAAAACTGGAAGTACAAACCTGTCAGGGAATAAGAGCTGAGCAAGCTCTATGTTCCACCAGCTACAAAAAGAAAACAAGAAAATGGAGGAGTGCTCTGCTTTACATACCCAGTGACTGGCCCTCCAAATCAATCAAAAAAAAAAAAAGGCTCAGATTACTGTAAAAGGAAAATTAAGAGTGAAAAGTGACAAGCAGTTAATGTTCTCAGTTTTGAAGCCAGGAATAAACACCAAGTAAGTCCTGTCTAGAAAAGTGTGTCAGCACCATCAGCAGAAACTGACACAGGACGCTGGGACCCATCCGAGGAGGGATTCAGAAGAGAATGAACAATAAAAGACAGGCATGGAGGTGACATCTGCAGGAGCTGGATACCAATTTCCAGAGAATGACTGCCTTTTAATAAACTGAGGTTTAACTGTTATCAGTGCCCGTTAAAAATCATTAGTATGAGAAACAATGAGAGCCATTTGTATCACTTTCTCCCTGCAGGACCTGTCTGAGGGAGAACAAACCTCTCTCCTCCAATGTCAGCTTGTTACTGCCAGCACTGGCTATAATTGAATAAGCTTTATTCAAATGATAGCTAAATTTAGCAGACATTAGCATCAAGTCTCTAGAGGGGTGAAAACTGGAGAAGGAAGCATTAAACAAATAGACTAAAGTAACCCTGAATAGTAGATGCAATTTATGGCAGAGCAAGCCTTTCTGCCTGATGAGTCTAGCACAAAGTTAAACCTGGATTTTGGGACCTCATTGAGAAAAAACATGGCACCATTCCCTTTCTTCCTGGCCTTTTATTATCCCTGTGGTGGTGGTTGCCTCTTGTATTGTCCACAAAATAGGATTTGTTACCCGGTGTGCAACAAGCACATTTCAGAGTTACACAAGCCTGGGTGCTTGGTGGTATTCCACAGATCAAGCACACCCACTGGACTATCCACACCATTATTTATACATAGATGTTCAGAGTTAGTAACTTTACAGCTACAAACCCTCTGCTGTCAGTAATTTCCATATAAGTTACATAAGCCCAGCTAACTTTTATGCATGCTTGAGGGAAGGGCTTTCACTTTGGCAGGGGTCTTTTTGACCTCTAGGCAAGACTTTTAGTATTACAGTGAACATACTTGAGTTGTACTTGAGCATTTCGCCGAGTTAGCAATGCATACATAGACATACCTCATCTTTGAAGCTCGTTAGTTCCAGGATGTCCTCGAGTAAGGGATGCAATTGCTATCTCTTTTAATGACATACAACAACATTGTGATTTACTACTCCTTAAAGGTTGTTAATTCCAGGACATTCTTGATTAAGGGATACTCACTGCCACCTCTTCCATTGATTAGGTCTCTTTTCTTGTTGATTAGGCTTGAAAGTATACAAAGATCTTACATCAAAGAACATCCTGACTTGAGATAATCTTGACATACTCACAGAATCGCAGAATTGTTAGGGTTGGAAGGGACCTCTGGAGATCATCTAGTCCAACCCCCCTGCCAAGGCAGGGTCACCTCGAACAGGTGACACAGGAACGTGGCCAGGTGGGTTTGGAATGTCTCCAGAGAGGGGGACTCCACGGCCTCCCCAGGCAGCCTCTTCCACTGCTCTGCCACCCTCAAAGTAAAGAAATTCTCCCTCATGTTGAGGTGAAAGTTCTTGTGCTTTAGTTTATGGACATTGCTCATCGTCTTGTCGCTGGGCACCACCGAAAGGAGTCTGGCACCATCCTCTTGGCACCTATTTTTGCCAAGTTAGCAGTGTGGTACCTAGACATCCATCAACACCGGGATTTACTGCGTCCCTAGAGCTTGTTCTGTCCCTCCGGGCAGGAGCGGGGCGCTGTGGGGGCCGGGAGGCGGCGGAGCGCTGCGAGGGCCGGGCGGAAGCGCGGCCGAGGCGCGGCCATGTCGGCGGCGCTGCTGCGGCGGGGGCTGGAGCTGCTGGAGCCGCCGGGTGAGCCCGCGGGGGCCGGGGGCTGTGCGGGCGGGGAGCGGGTGGTTCCCGGCTGGAGTAACTCCGTCCCTATTCCCGCTTCAGGGCAGGGAAAGGTGCCTCCGGGAGCCCAGCGGGGCCGGGATGGCGCCAGGGTCGCGGGCGCTGCGAGGCGGAGGAAGAGGGCGCCGGAGCCCGGCAGGAACAAGGCCACGGTCAAGGGGAGAGTCGTGAAGTCGGCAATAGGTGAGTCCCGGCCTCTCCACAGCCCTCGCACCGGGTCCTCTTGTGGTGTCCCGCAGCCACCCTGACGGTCGCTGTATCCCATCCCTTCCCATCCTCCCGGATGCCCTTTTGGTGTCACTTAAACACAGCCTGATTTGAGGGCGCACCCCTATCCCCGAGCTGTAGCGGTGTCTTTATCCCGGTGCCTCGCTGATCCGCCTGTGTGTCTCCTTGTGAGCTGCCTGGATGAGCAGCTGATGTGTTTTGTCCCGCTCTGCTTTGTCCCAGAGGAGTATCATAAGAAGAAGCCTGTGAATCACTTGAGAGAAAACCTGCAGTACATGTTGAAGGGACGACTTGTTGCAGACAAAGCCATCACAGAAAAAGTAAGACCAACTTCTATTTGGGGATCTGTTTCCACTAAGGAACACACGTGAATGGGAGTCAAGTTAATTTTCTGTTTACAAGTTGCCTTGAGGAATTTCTGTGTGCACTGGAAAAATAACTTAGTAAGCTTTAAACTCTTGTTGATACGTTGTCCCCTGTTTTGTTCTCTGATACTAGTTAAGATCATAGAATGATAGAGTGATTTGGGTTGTAAGGGACCTTAAAGATCATCCAGTTCCAGCTGCACCACCACGAACAGGGATGCCACCCGCTTGATTAGGTTCCTCAAATGTACTGACAACTGTTGGCTTTTCTTAATTACCAAAGATTTCATAGCTTCCTGTGGCAAAGAAGCCGTGGTTCAGACCTTCTCCTTACTGTCAATCAAACTGGCCCTCTCTGTAGCTGGAGGCTGTTTGATGAGGAACCAGGTGTGCTGCTGGCTCATGTAATAGGAATTTTGTGGCATCTTGAATGGTGTTTCTCATAACTTGAGAATTTTTGGGAAAGCCAGTGGTCTTTCCCCAAAGGTAGTCCCATGCCAGGATTTGAAGAGGAGGATACCTGACACTGCTAGTGTTGGGCTATTTTTATGAGATACAGGCTGTTAACTTACATAAACAAATCAGGTGGTTTAGGCCAGTGTTTCTAAAGCTGAAGATTGTGAAAGGAGGTGATGGTGTATTAGAAAATGCTGAGGGAATTCCACCACCTTGTTCAGTTTTCCAGTTGTCTCATGGAGAGAGATGATAAAAGAAGGTCATAGTTTCAGAAAGATCTGAATTGAAATCAGTATTTCTATCTCTGTGACTTACTACAGAGAGAAGTTTTCATATTTGACTCCAAATACCGAATTGATATGTACTGTTGTCCCAGTGACCTGCTTTGGTTAACATCGGTGATTGCCTCTCACTTTTCTTTGAAGGCACTCCAGGATATAGCAGGGTACTTGTAGGATAGCAGAGATGCTGCAGGTGAGCTTGAAAATTGCTATTTTGTGGTTTGGTCTGGATAACAATGACTGCTGTTTTTTCCATTTCTGTATTGACTGAAGGTTCTTGCTCAGAACAGAGGCAGGAAGTCCAAAGATCAGCCTCCAGAGAAGGCAGAAAAGAAGAAGCCCGAAAGCACTGTCTTTACTGAGGAAGATTTCCGTAAATTTGAGAGAGAATACTTTGGGATACCGTAAACAACGTGATGGGAATTCTTGCAGCTCCGGTCTTTCTGCAGCTAAGTGCTCAGCACACAGGACTGGACATTTCCTCATCGTGTTTGAGATGGGACATCAGAGATGCCTTTCTACCAGCGAGGACTTCCATGTCAGACTTGCAGGGCAGCTCTGCATCTGTGCAGAACTTGTTACTGGCCAGCTAAAGCCACATCTCTTGGCTCTGAGATGTGTTGACCTTATAATTATCTTCCTGCAGCTAGCAAGTCTTGCATCCTTAATGTTGAAGGGCGGACCAAGCCAAATACAAATCTTGTTCCCCTTCGTCAGGATGTAAGGCTTCTGCTATCTGTGTTATTTGGCAGGGGGTATTTAAAGTAGTGTATCTGAATGGAGAAGTGTTTGGACCAGCACTAATAAATCCCTGGAAGGGTAGGATGCTCTGAAAGACTGTTAAACCTGAGAAACCCTGCAGTTTCTGTTCTTATTACAACCCCTGTCAGGTCTTTCAGTCATTGCAAAAATTTTTTATATGTCATTTGATTAAATAATTGTTGCAGACGCTGTCTCTCTTTGCCTTTGTAATAGCGATTATTATGACAAGCTACAGTTGATGAAGACAAACTGTGTCACTGTTCTGATCCAAGCATTCCTGTCTTTAGGATGACTCAGTTGTGTGAATGGTCTCTCTGATTCATGTTGACACATATATTTAATCTTCTCTCTGACATGCTGAGGCCTTCAAAGAGTGCAGTGGAATGGAGATGACTTCTCCGTTTTGCCTACTTACGGTCTCCCCTCTCCAAGGAAGAGCTGTCAGACAAAGTTGTCCTTTGGATGCTTATACCAGAGCATCCCACCGAGATGTAGCCATGCCAGGAGGGCTCCCCTGCTGAATGTTGGCAGAGCTTGTAGCCAGGAGGGCTTGTGACCAAAATGTTAGTCTCGGCATCAAGTTAAAATCTGAACCTGAGGGTGTGGTGCTGGGTTGAAGGGAAGTTGTATTCTCTCAAACTACTGCCAAATTCCCAGTTGTAACAAACAAGGCCCAGCAGGTGGGAGTGTTGTTACAGAAGCTTCCTCACTAAACCACTAAGTGTGCTTCTGGGGAGCTCCTGCCACTGCCCTTTCCTGCCCCTTACCTAAGAAGATTGGAAGTGTGTTTCCTTCAGAAAAAAACAGGTAAGGAGAAGGGCTAATGCCAAGCTTTACAAGGGGCTTGGCTGACCTGAGCAGCAGCTGCTTGATGTCAGCACTGGCAAGAATTCATTATCCCTTCCCTGCCCTCTTGATTCCTGGTGCTGTCCTCTTAAATCTGTGCCTCCTCTGTTGAGTTCTTTCCCACTTGTCTGCATGAGAGGGAAGGTCACTCAGATGTATGAGGTCCAGACAGGGGAAAGAGTGAACATACTGAAGTGTATGTACTGGAAATTGTGCAATAGCACATGGGAGGGGATTTCTTGTAATAGGATCAAGTTCAACTATCTACAGCCAAAAGTGGTAAATATAGAACAGTTCAAAGAGCAATTCCCTTTTTTTCAGTCTGTTCTTGCTCCCAAAATTTAAAAAGTGTAAGAAAAAAAAAAGAACTACAGCTTCTTAAAAGCTGATTGTGCCACATCTTGATCAAAAGAGGTAGATTTCTGGGGTATTATTTTGTTTTGAGCCTTTGTCTTCACTATTTGGAATTTCCTGTGGCCTTACAGATGTCCTTCATGTCATCTCCTGCACCTCCTCTACCAGTTCCTCCTACACACCCTTATTTCTGTGGTTGTTTGGCTCCTGGGCCCTTCTGCAGGTTGAGGAAAGCAAAACCATCCTTGCTCCAGAAAAGAGCAGGAGGGTAATGAAGTTCATTCTTTGTACAAAACTCAGCTTGTTTGCTTGCAAACATAAACAAACAGGAAAGCTCTCCTTTCAGAGTCAATGAGGAACTTTAAAGTGAGGCCCAGGGCAGTTCTCCCTGAGGATAATAACACCCAGATCAGTGAAGTTTAAAAGTTGGATGGTAGCTCTCATTACCCTCTGGAAAGACTATTAGGGCCAACACAAGTGATCAACATACTTCTCCAGGCTTTTGCCATGAGGCATTATGTTGTTGAGGAGGGTGAAGCTACCTGACAGACTGAATTTTGCCATTTGAAACCAAACTTGGTTGTACAGCCAACAATATCCTCCAATAAATTATTTAGTAGGAGGAAGGAAAAGTAAGCAGAAGTGAATGGGTGGCTCTAGATCTGCAAGGGCAAAGAGCAAACGTTTCAGCCTTGACTTTCCCCCTGTCTGGCAGGGCATGAGCTCCTAGGAAAGAAGAGCAGTGCCATCTGCATGCCGGGTAGATAAGGATGGGTGTTGGCCCCTGAGGGAAATGTCTTCAAGTGAGAAGGGAGAACAGGAATCAGCCTGAGGCACATGCTTGGTGGTGAGCTAAAGCTGAGCACCTTCTTGTACTCCCAGCTGTCTTATGTTATGGTCTAGCCATGCCCAGGGCATGCCAGCTCCTTTGTTATGCTGGAACCCCAGTAGGTGGCTACCTTGGAGCAACCTACTCATCCCTGGCAGTGTTCAAGGCCAGGCTGGATGGGGCTCTGAGGAACCTGGTCTAGTGGAAGATGTCCCTGTCCATGGCAGGGGGATTGGAAAGAGATGACCTTTAAGGTCCCTTCCAACCCGACCCATTCTATGATTCTGTGATCTAGCAGTTCTTTGCAGCCAGATTTTTCTGCCCAGTGGAAGAGAGAAGAGGGGGTTAGGGAAGGAGAGCAGCTGCCATAGCTTCTTTTTCTGGTTGTCCTCCAGCCTCAGTTTCCCACGCTGGAAGCTGACAGGCTGCAGCCCATAACCTTTGGACCTGCTGGACAGCATTTCATTCCCACGCATCTGTGAACAGCAGCACAGGGACGTGTCCCACTGCTGTGGGACGAGGGCTGTGTGCTGGCTGAGCTCATCAGGCTGCTGGCTCTCTTCCCAGCTCTGCGACACCAGCTGAGCATCCTGCAGCAGAAAATAGAGGTAGCTGAGCTGGAGAAGAAGGAGGAGGTTGCCATCTTACAGTGTATCTCCACCCACATGCAGCAGGGAGTCAGAATGGGAGGTGGCGGCAGCAGCTTTAATATAAATGCAAATAAAAGCTCTGGAGTGTTATTAATGTGGTAGAACCTTTCCAGGGAAACTGTTTAGAGGAAGCAGAATAGTTCCCAGATGCTCAGTCTTGAGCTAGCTTAGTGTGAATAAGATTCATCAAGCCTGTTAATGGCCTATTGCTCCCTCATTATGTGAATGGAAAGCAAAAAAGGCAATTTGTTCCAACGGGTACAAGCTAATGTAAGCCCATACAACCTCTGCTGTACCAGCAAGTCTTCACTTCCTTACCATAGAAAGCAACAACAGCTACTACCAGTGCTATATGTGCATCAGGAGGGGGGATGACTGCAATTGTAAACCAAGAAAACATGTTTGCTCAGGGCACTAACCAATTTCTTGCCTCTGAAATGACAAAGTGGTAACAAACCTGGCCACCAATGAACAAAGACAGACTGTAAAACTTGCTCAGGCAAATGAGATTTAAAACACTGAAAAAGCTGCGGTGGAAAACCAAGGAGGGGGGAAGGGTCCTAAAAACCTTTGGCAATCTCACCCTCTGTTTTGTTTTCCATGGCTGCCTTCCATTTCAGTCTTGCTGATGATCAACACAGCACCAGCACCTGCAGCACAGACAGGCTCCTGAACGCCTCAGGTAGGGGACTAGTTATTGTAGAAACGGTTCACAGCAGCAGGGTCCTAAATAACCCAGAAAATAAAAGTTACAGCAAAGGAAGTTTCTCATTTGGAGACACAAAGACTCATCGATTCAACTAAAAATGAAAGAAGGCAGGCTGCCTAATGTCTGCTTACAGCCCAAAATGTGGAACTGCAGCCAAGGCAGACTGAAGGGTTAGTAGGTTTGAGACAGCTTAAAGGTTTGCATGTCTATCCATAGTTACGTTAAATAGGATTAACAGTGCCAACCACTAACCAATGGGGGCAGGGGACATAAAAAGCATGAAGGTTGCTCTGCAGCTGTCTACAGAGCTACACACACCTTTTTCTGAAGGAGTAAGCTTTTGGCAGGGTTAACCAGTGATCCAGCCAAGCTGGTCTGTCCTGAGCTGCACTGCTTGCGTGCCAGCAAGATCATTTATCTCCTTTAATGGGAGGCAAAGACTAGGGCTCTTTCTCTGCCTGCCTGTACACTGCAATGGAGATGCAGAGAAGTTACAGAACTAGGAGGCTCTCTGCCCTATATAAATTAAGCTGACGCATCTGCTGTGCCTGGAACTCGCTCCCTGCCATTTCTTAACAGGGTGTGTACGTGTAAAAGAGAGAAAAAGAGCAATTGAAGGAGAAATGAGAGGCAACTAGGCATTGCTTGGAGAACATGCACCTCTGTAATAGGGAAATTGGAGCTTGTGGGTAGAGCTAGCTTCATTCGGTGGCTTGTGACGCTGCATGAGTGCACCAAAAATAATGCAAAGGCAGCATACCTGGGATACCTGAGGAGCCAAAATAGTGTTGCCTAGGTCAGGGGACCGAACTCCTCTGTTAATTCACAGGGCCTGAAGCCTTTCAATGGGAGAGTCAGCAAAAGTGAGCATTTCTGGCCCAGCAAGGGACATTCATGGTAAGACCCCAAGACTACCTTTGTGCTAGAAATGAAGTGTAACAGGAGTTTATGTGCTGGACTGCACAGCAAGGCTGTGAACATAGGAAGAGGACGGAGGAAGGTAGGGTATCTCCAGACACTACTTGAACCATACTAAAAAAAAATTAGTATGCACAAGATGGAAATTATGCTTGTAGGAAGGATAATATAGATCCTCGTTTTTTCCTGAAGGCCTAAGTCTATAGAAAGATAAAGAAAGCAGGTATTCTTCTGGCCAAAAATTTATAGATATCCCACCCCAAAAAAAAGGCTATGAATGGACTACCACTGTTTCAATCAGTATAACCCACATTTTCTTTCTATAGTCCAGCTTGGGAGCACTGGAGGAGCATTCATTTCCCAAAGGACAGGCTGTCCTTGCAGCTATTTCTGGGCCTTCTGCCAGAGCAAAAGCTATTTGGAAGATTTTATCATCATTCTTTCTTCATTCTCCAACACTGCAGCTGTGGATTTGTTTCTGTAAGCGTGCTGCAAAGGTGTATCTGATCCTCCACACAGGCATATGAAGAAGTTGTCAGCGGTCATGGTTTCCTCTTTTCATTTTGAAAGAGAAGTGCAAGTGCCTGGCTCTCACTAAAGGCAGGGTGAAGAGGAAGATGGTTATAAATATCACGACAACAGCAGAAACCAGCTCCTGAGAAGGGGCTGTAGGTTGTCAGAGCAGCTCAGTGAGCAGTGAATCGCCAGGGCTTGTTTGGTTACGTGGGGGAATATTGGACTCCTGTTTACCATGAAGCATAAAATTTGCTAAGGGATCGGGAGCCTGAGGGTCACACATGCTGTGTGTGTGAACTCTACTTCACTGCTCTTAATTTAGAGGAAAAATAACTGACAGAAATCCCATCAGCTGTGCTAACTT